TTTTTATTAAAAAATGAACTAAAAATTAAGATGGTCAAATCAAGGATATAAAAGGTTGAAAAGATTTTTCTAACATAAATAATAAGTTCCTAAAGAACTTAGGTACTTGAAATTCGGGAAAACAAAGTGATCTCAAATTATGTCATGAATGAAAATATGATGGAACCAAAATAAAGTCAACATTCACAATGTATTTGTCAAATCAAAAAGTTTTTTGGACACATAGTAAAGTTAAGATGGTTTTAGAACGGGCCGTTCTGGTTCTAGGTGTATTCAAGAAATTTGATATCTACCTACATATTTACGTGGCATCCACCTGACAACGTGACCAACAGTTAACTCCGTTTAAATCATTTGGACAGAAGTCCCAAATTGCAATAATTTAAATTATTGGGGACCAAATTGAAATCAAAAATTAAAATGAGACTAAATTAAAACAAAAAAATATTATAAGGGACCAAATAAGGGTTTTAACATATGAAAAAATATAAAGTTATAACTCCTTTGTTAATTTTTATTTCTTCCCAATTTCACACCTCTGTTCCTTACTTCTAATCAGGTGTAATGAAATAGAATAAATATTATTAAAAATATATTTTAAAATTTTCTGACCAATAGATTGAAGTGGACATCATAGTACAGCTGTAGAGTTACATTATTGCGCTATAATAAATTATAATATTGCTAATCTGTACCTCTCCAAGTGTGTTTGATAGAAAAGAAAAAAAAAAGTGAGAAATAAAGAGAAAAAAATAAAATTAGTAAAAATAGATAAGGTATATATAGTAGAAATTTGACTTTTAATTGAAGAGAAATATGTGAAAAATATGTGAAAAATAAGATATATAAGAAAGATGAAAGAGAAATAAATAAATATAAATAAATAAGAGGATGAAGTTTATTATCTTTTAATTTTTTTATTTTCTTGTTTTTTTCTCAATCAAACAATTTTACTTATTTTCATTTTTTTTATTTTTGCTTTCTTCACTCTATTTCTTACTCATTTTTACTTAACTAAACAAAGCAAAGTCAAAGGAGTTAAAAGAGATACAAGCTAGACCCAAATTTTGACTTAAAACCTCTTTGGGACAAAATTCCAAATCTAAAGTTTATAGTGGTTGGAAAAAACTCCACGTTACATAATTTACAGTAACCACACATACGATTAAATTCAAATTTTCAACACATAAGGTTGTAAGAAATATTTTTAGTTGTTATCAAAGACTAATTTTCTTAATGAGATGTGAAGATACTTAAAAGAGTGACATAAGTTGTTTATCTCAACTAAATTTTTTCATACATAGAAATCATATATTTAAATTACTAACAACTTGTTTAATGCATTTGAATCCATCATCATTTAGACCAATCACCCTAAAACTATCTCAATTTTGATCAAATGTACTTTAATTGTATTTAATTAAAATTTAAAATATCCTTGTTTTATATATAAAGCTGATTCGAGAATTTGAATTCTTATGTCCTTAATTCTCAATAATATTAATGATAATAACAATAATAATGATATTAATAATATTACATGATGTATGAGTGTGCAACAATAAGACATGAATTAATAAAAAAAGAAGGTATATTTTTTAACTTAGCAAGCTAAGCAAGTTTTATAAGCTTCAAGAAGTTTAAGGCTAGTGACCAACGTGGATATTAATGTGATCTTGAAATATATTACCTTATAATAAACCTTATGATATATGTTGATATAGTGACACATGCACACACACTAAGTTTAAGGCTAATGATCAACATGAACGTATACATAGAAACATAAATACAACACACATAGACATAGACATGGACATGAACATACACAATAAACAAACTTAATTGACTTAGAATCCACATTTAATGACATTTGGTCTAGTTTGAAGGAACTATAGGTAATATTTGGAGGTTTCAATTAAGGTTTGATAATTGTTAAATATGTCCATGTCTTTTACTTGATTTAGATAATTATCGAGCACATCTTATAATTTAAAGTCCTATTTTTTGTTAAAAATAAATATAAAAAAATTAGTTTTGCTTATTCTTTAAGTCTTAGGTATTTTTGATGTTTTTCTTAGTGTCTTAGATACATGAAAAGTAGGGGAGGCTAGTCAAAAACCTAGAGCAAAGGAACTAAATCTATCAACTCTCACTTAAACGAGTCATTTTGGCTGCTTGAGCGAGGCTAGGCAAAAAATTGCTATGAAGTATCAAGACCTTTTACTTAGAGCAAGAATGAAACATCACCCAGAGAGACCATCTACTCGATTAATCGAGCCACTTTGGTCACTTAAGCGAGTCAACACTACAAGCATTTATCAAGTCTATCAACAAGCTTGCTCAAACGAACCATTTGGGTTGCATTGCTTAAGTGAGGTTATGCAGAAGAAAGTTCATTTTGGTTGCTTAAGTAAGGTTACGCAAAAGAAAACCCATTAAAAATATTATAAGATTAGAGTTCAAGATAAAGGAAAGACACTTCACATATTGTATATTTTAGATATTTGAGAAAAAATAGAATTGTTGTTAGATATTGATGTAACTGACTTTACTCCATGTAATTCTTCCAATTCCTTTACAATAAAGACTTTTATTCAATTAATTGTTCTTTTTCTATTCTTAAAGCTTTTTTTGACTTGATCACTCAGCATGATCTCATGGATTTAATTAAGTTTTGGAAATCCTTTTGAAACTACGATATAAAAAATAACAATAATAATGTTTATTAACATGATTAAAATAAGTCTTATTAATCAACGTTTTAAACCTTCAATCTTAATGCATGTTGCTTAACAAATTTCACTAAGAAATTGAGATCTTTCTTAAGGAACCTAGAATTTTCACCTAAAAATTAGGGTTAAAATGTTTTTGTTGGTTGTTAAATTAACTTGATAATTTATGAAATAAAAAAAATAATTGGGAAGGAAACGTGTTAAGAAGGTTAGTGAAATCAACTCATGCCATCTTTTATTATATATTTTCATCTATCATTATTATTTGTTTTCTTATTCTAAATCCCTAATTTATTTATTTTTTTACCTATATGTGTTCTTTAAACAAATATTTCTTTCTATATTTTTCCTAATTAACATTATATTAGATTAATTGACCGTAATGCAAGTTCTAGTAGATTTGATACTTAATTTTTTTGTTCATTTTACTACTTGTGACAATTAATTTGTTCAATAAAAATCTAACAAAATTATAAATGATTTAAAATTAGACTAGATTTTAGTCATGATAATGGAAATGGGTTGGGAGCATGTTTGACTACCCTTATCATTGTTGTCACAAAATACAAGTCATTATAGGGTAAAAAGGATAACAAATTTAACCTTTAATTAACCTAATTTTCATTTGTGGGATAAATTTAGGTTGTATAGGACTATATAAGTGTCTATGATTTCAATCAACATATACAATTTTAAGTTTTTTAATTAACAAAAAAAAAATTAATGATATTTCATTATATGTCATATAAAAACTAATTAAGAATTATATGATCTATGACCAACAAATAATTCTTGTTTAGTAAAGTTTGTCAAACCTATTTCACATTCTTTAAAATTTAATTTAGTTTTATATTTTAAATAATCATATATTAAGCTATTGGCTATATTTTAATGCAAATAATATATACAAATTAACAAATAAAAAACTTAAAATAAATTATTTTAAAAAATTATATAATGTTAAATTTATTATTTAAATGTCATTATAATTTAAAGTATTTCAGTACTAAAGCAATTAATTTTTATTTTTAATAATTATAAAAAATAAAAAAGTATAATTATAAATTTCTAACTCATATATATATATATATATATATATACTTATTTAATTATTACAAGACATTTCTTTTATGCTCAAAACAGCATTATCCACATATCCTTCTACTCTCCAGAGCTTGGGGCAAAAACAATTGTTACCACATTGTATAAATGATAGAGTGAAGGTTCACGGACGGGTCACAAATACAGTGTGAAATGTTTTCCAGATATAATTTTCACCCAGGTTAATTAAGGTTGTTACTTTAGTAGTTATATGATTTATGAAATCTTTGCCGATGTTACAGATCGATCGACACATGACAATTCTGTGTCGTTTGCTGTTTGTATAATATTATGTGGCCAACCCTTGTGTGTCTTCTTTTGCTGTGTTGTAGTGATGGTTTTGGTTTGGACGAGAGCATGTCATGTATAGAGCCTTAGACCCAACAGTGGTATTGCAATAATCAAACCAATATTTGCACCAGGCTGTAGACAGACCTTGTGTGTCTTCTTAGATCACATGCATTGGTTGCATGTGATCTTGTACGGTAGTTGAATTATACCGTCCAGCTTAGACATGTTGAGTCGAGTTTGAATAGGCATGCTTGTGACAAGTTCGGAATTGTTATTCAGACAATAACCAAACGATAATATTGACAGTATATTCTAAAACAATTGAAACATATTAAAGAGAGATACAGAAATAATATCTTCACACAGTTTTGCATACAATTAAGGGGATATCCTATAACTACTTGCAAGATCGTCTCCTAACTTAGACTCTCGTTTAACTTGAACATCTGAATGTCTTTGGAGGTACTTTCACTATTACAAATATCGAAGCAATAAAAATGTTATTCAATTGTTTAAGTACTTGCAAAATTTTGGTAAGAACAATTGTTATCGGAAGAAGATTGGTTTGAGAGTATAGCGAACGATAAGTTCCAAGGTTGGTCTATCCATATAATACTATTGTACACGTTAATCATGGAGTGTGTGATAGTTCTAATAAAATTTTTGGCTTACAAAAAAAATTAGTTTTTTGCTTTTATGAGTTGGCAAAAGTGGTTATTAATGTAGTATGAGTTTACATTTCCTATAACGTGAATTCAATATTCCCTACAAGTCATTATTAAAAGCTCATTATAGTGAACCTATCTACTCAGAGATTATTTGATGTGACGACTCGCCATAATCACTATACTTCATGAAATCACCAACCAGCAATAGAAAACTACTATATAAAGTCATACATTCACAATTACTTGGATATGTACAATATAACATGCATGTACGTGTAAAAAGAACTATACAAAGATAAATAATATAAGTACAATTATCCAGTAATAGTCCACTACATGACCTAAATATTGGTCAAGCATTACTATAAAACTATCGCAAGAAGGTAGTATGTATAAAACATTTTAAAACATTATCATCCACCTGATGGCCTCCACTATAGTCCTTTGTAACCTATCTCTACACAAGCAACATGAAAACAAGCAAGGGTAAGTTATGTTTTAAAAGTCAAGCAAGTATAGGAATAAAAACATTTATACTACCTACCCATATGTAAACCTTCAAACCAACAACACAAGGTTCACATCATATACAACATCCTTAAAACAACAACTAGTTTGAAAGCTACACACCAAGCAGTCAAACCACACCAAGTAAATATCACACAATAAGATATTCAACTAATGCACATGAATACACTAATTAACAACACATCATATACATCCAACTCAACTAATGTGTCGTCACGCATCACCTACGGGGATTTCCAAATACACATAAGTAGTCTAAATAGTTTGACCCTACCAAATCAATCTTGATCGCTTTCATGCCATACGTGTCTATTGGATTCACAACTAAAACGAGATACCAATCCTTTCTTTGATTTCTTAAGTGTCGCCACTTATACTAGGAAAATTCGATTCTACCATCAAGACTAGTATAGTTGGGTACAAGTATACCATAGCCTTAACATGCAACACCAAGTCACTTATAGAATTAGCCAACTAACTATCCTCAAAGAATCGCACAACCTTTCCAGTAATTAGTTAAGGATGATAATCCTCGATCAACTTCATACTTTACTCCACATTAACTAAGGACCTAGAGAAAACTCAACAAAATTCATTCCAAGAGTTTCACACTTGCTTAAGAAGGGTTTTCAACAAGATTCCCTATGTGGGATCTTCAACTTTCTAAACAACATCCATTCCTTTAGTCCTAAGTCAACCATAATGTTTTAATGTTTGCAACATTCTTGGCATCAACACCTTAACATACATTTTCTATAATTACCCTAAGTCAATGCATATAGAGATCAAATCACATCAATCATGTATAGCATACTAATGTTTAACTCCTAAACTAATAATAGCATACCAATGCTCAACATGTAACTCAAGTACAACATACCAATGTTTATCAACTCATCCAAGTATAATATATAATCATACATAACATATCAATGTTCATCACCATTTCAACTGCATAAATATAACATATCAATGCTTATTGTCATTATCTTACATCACATAATATGCAATACACTTAAGCATTATATCCATGTTCACCATACAACAATTAATCATCAACAATATTTAAATCATCATCATACATTATCCTATATCAATATACAATCAACATACAAGGTATTAAATTAAATCTTCATTCTACTTCATACAAACATCCAACTCATACCATAAAGAAGGAACTTGACGCTTTAAGCATCCAAGATTCTCACTCTAAGCAATACAATTTCGCTCTGAGCGCCAAAAAACTTGCTTGGAGTGATCCCAAACAAAGACCACCCCTAAAGTCTCAATCTGGTCACTTCAAGTGACATTTTCCTTGCTCTAAGTGATTGAATTCGCTCAAAGCACTCCTCAATTCACTTTAAGCGGTCAAAGTTAGGGATTACCCCTGAACTTCTGTCTCCACTCGCTCTAAGCAAGTGAGTCCTCACTCTAAATCATCGAAACCCGTTTTGAGAGATCAAAGTTTACTCTAAGCAAGCCAAGTCAGAGACCACCCTTAACCCGGTTACACCTGCTCACTTCGAGCAACTCTCATGAGTGCTCTGAGCAAGCGTACCTAAAAACCTGCATAATTAAAGCTCAAGAACATCCACACCGCAAAATACTTTAATAATAAAAAAATCCACCTAGCCCATACATCAAAAACATGACATGCAACCACAGATTTGATAAAAAACATTAAATTCATCTTAGTCACCTCAAGAACACTCAAACCCCACCCCTTCATCATGCAAGTTCAAAATTTTCATTCACACGTTCATACATGATTTGAATCAGTGGAATGCAACTCAACAACCCAACATCGAAACCATTCCTAACTTTCCTTACCTTGATTCTAAGCTAATCAAGAGAGGAGAAAAGGAAGAAGGAAGAAAGAGACAACTCTGAGCTTCGAATCACCCAAGCTCTGCACCAACCCATGAATTCTAAACTCTAGGTAAAAGAAGTAGAATCAGCCCTCTTTAACACCTAAGACTAAGACACTCTAGGAACTAAGAGAAGAAAAATAAGTTTTTAGCCACTAGGACTCTCAAATTCGACCAAAAACACACTCACCTCACCTAACTAAGAAAACCAAACTCCTAGCTTAGTATTACATTTGGCAACAAAGGTAAAAATTATTTGATGAGTTTCTGCTAGTCTTTAGTTCGGAAAGTAAAGTTCTGAATCAAATTAAATACTACTGAACTTTGGTTAATCACTAAGTGAAAGATAATGTTTGGTCTTCATATATTAATTATTTCATTAACTTTGCTTATCAGAGTGTCATTTTTTATCTATCATTTTTTAATAATAAATACTTCTTTCCTAACGACCAGCTGTAATGGTAGAATGTTGAGCATCAACGTGTTTTCAAAGTATTCTTCTTTCGTGCATTATTCACACCTGGAATTCTTAAACACATTTTCGTCTAAATTAAAATGCACTTTAATGTATATCTTTCGCAAAACATTTCCTTTTTGTTACGTATTAAAATCCTCTTCTGTCCACATCAATTACTTCAAAAAAATGAAAACTTCAGACGTAGTGACTTAGCTACTTGCTAATATAAGAATATTGCGGATGTTACACTCAACTATATGGGAAAGCGAACTTTAATTTCCCTTGCTCACCATTTCTTTGGCATTTTCATTCATATGCTTTGAAAAGAAGTTTTTTTTTATATTATATATATTTGGAATTGCTTTTATGAAACCGAATATTTTAAAGTCTATGTATATAAATTAACAAAATATTTATTACTTACGTAACTGATCAAAATAATATCTATTCTGTACCAAAAAATAAATAATATTTATTTTTACGTAATGATTAAGTAATAGTTTTAAGGACTAATATATATATATATATATATATATATATAAGGAGTGGTCGTTTATTTCAAGAGTAAATTTACTTAGACTTATTCCGTTTAATAATTCATGTTTTAAATCAAATTTTAACGATCTAACCGTTGAATTTAAAGTTCTTAATGCATATATCAAATTTGCAAATTTTTAGAAAATTTGAAAATCATTTGATACTTCATTTCATTAATTGAAATTGATGGATAATCATAAAATCATTTTATACATTGTTTTGAATTAATGAAACGAAGTATCAAATG